AGCAGAAATTTTGCTATTCCTTCAAAAAAAATACCAGGAAAATGATTTAAAGAAACTTCAAGAGGAATAACCATGGAGCAGCATTTTTTTTAAAATCTTTGACTGTGGTAATAAAAGAGAGCATTTGAAAGACTGGTGTAAGCACACAAGTACTTTTTCTTATAGTCTATGTTTAAGAAGTAATTATATAAAGTATGTTATGTATAACTGCTTGATCAGTTGACATGCATGCTGTATTTCTAATATGACTAACAGTTATTGTAATAAGTAATTTTTGAATTATGAAAGCACTTAGTCCATCAGTATACTGTTTAAGAGGGTATTTAGTCCTTTGTAAGTTCTTTATAATCTTGCCTACAAGTTTAAAAGTAAAAGAGGTTATATTGAGGTTTAATAGAAATTTATAGAAATTTGATTAATAATAATAATAATAATAATAATAATAATAATAATAATAATAATAATAGTCTGAGGAAGCTGCAAGTTTCCTTTGTGAACAGATTTCCACCCTTAATATAACAAGGACAGGTTACCTTTTTGTGGTTAAAGGCTGCTGCTGCTGGTGGTGTTCCAGCTGCTAAGAGGCATAGAGATATAGGCAGGGATGGGCTTCAAAACGTTTAGCAAGGGGTTCTCTGCCTGGTTGCTGGGTGGACTTGGCCATGGTAGGCATGGCCAAGTCAGCCTCCTGCACCATGGGGGGGGGAGGGGGCATTTTGCTCTCCCCAGACTCCAGAGTCTTTTTTCGAACCTCCAGGAGGGCGAAAATGGTCTCTCCAGGCTCCGGAGGCTGTCTGGAGGCAGGAAATGGGCCCTTTTCTGGCCTTCCCAAACTTCCAAAAGGCCCGTTTTCACCCTCCCCGAGCCTCCGAGTATGCCCTGCACTTACCTGCATCCAAAACGGGCCATGTGTGGACTCCTGGGAGGAGCGGGGTGGGGTGGGCGGGGCCAGCCAGGAGTGGGATTTGGGGATACTCTGAACTGCACAGAAACTTAGGTAGAGGTTCTCCTGAACCCCTGCAAACTCCCAGCAGCCCACTTTTGGGTATAGGCTAGAGAGATCATCAGAGAGTGCAGGTATTTTTACTCCTTTGTAAGCTTTTGGGATTCCCCCATCTCACCCCCCTGCAAATAAATAGATGACTTAAATCTCTACTGGAGATTGAATTTATTTTTATCTAATGTCCCAAATTGTGGTTCAGTGGCATAATCTTAATTCTAGGGCTACTCTAATTAACACAGTAGTACTCCAGTACAAACTGCAGTATACTCCTGTGTGTATGATCAGGTCAGGATTCTAGCATTTATTGCTAGTTTAATGTGTATATAATTGTACAACAGTAAACTTCACATGAATATATTAGAACAAACCTTTTCTACCCTGCTAAATCAATCAACCTAAGTACTAAATTAATGGTGGGTTTTGCAAGAGTTCAATTGGTTGGTTGGTTGATGATCTCTGGAGGGCTCGGGACAGGGGTTGCTCCTCTATCCTGGTCCTATTAGATCTCTCAGCGGCTTTTGATACCATTGACCATGGTATCATGCTGCACCGGCTGGAAGAGTTAGGGGTGGGAGGCACTGTTCTATGGTGGTTCTCCTCCTTTCTCTCTGACCGGTTGCAGTCTGTGTTGGCAGGGGGGCAGAGGTCGACCCCGAGACCCCTCATATGTGGGGTGCACAAGGGTCGGTCCTCTTGCCCCTTCTGTTCAACATTTATGTAAAGCCGCTGGGCGAGATCATCCGTGGTTTCGGGTGAAGTTCCATCAGTACGCTGATGATACTCAGTTGTACATCTCCACCCCGGACCACCCTAACGATGCCCTTGAAGTGATGTCCCGGTGTCTGGAGGCCATGCGGATCTGGATGGGGAGGAACAGGCTCAGGCTCAACCCATCCAAGACCGAGTGGCTGTGGTTTCCGACGTCCCGATATAGTCAGTTGACGCCATCGCTGACTATTGGGGGCGAATAGCTGGCGGAGAAGGCTCGCAACTTGGGTGTCCTCCTGGATTCACGGCTGTCTTTAGAAGAGCACTTGATGGCTGTGACCGGGAGGATTTTTCATCAGGTTCGCCTGATTCGCCAGTTGCGTCCCTTTCTGGATCGGGACTCCCTACACACAGTCACTCATGCCCTCGTCACCTCCCGCCTGGACTATTGTAATGCTCTCTACATGGGGCTCCCCTTGAGGAGCACGCGGAGGCTCCAACTGGCGCAGAGTGCGGCCGCGCGGGTGGTTATGGGAGCAACATGGCGCTCCCGTGTAACACCTCTCCTGCGCGAGCTGCACTGGCTCCCGGTGGTCTTCCCTGTGCGCTTCAAGGTTTTGGTTACCACCTTTAAAGCGCTCCATGGCTTAGGACCTGGTTATTTACGGGACCGCCTACTACCACAAATAGGCTCCCACCGGCCGGTACGCTCTCATAGAGAGGGGCTCCTCCAGGTGCCGTCAGCCAAGCAATGTCGACTGGCGGCCCCCAGGGGGAGGGCCTTCTCTGTGAGGGCATCCACTATCTGGAACGAGCTCCCCCCGGAGATATGGAGGATCCCGGATCTGCGCACCTTCTGCCGCGCTCTTAAGACCCTCTTATTCCAGCAAGCCGGCCTGGCCTAATTTTTCTCCCCTTTCTTTTAAATTGGAATTTTAATTTGTTTTAAATTTATTGGGATTTTAAATTGTCGTGGGCCAAATTATTTAATTTGGTTCTAAATTGTTTTTAACTTTTGTATTTCTGTATTTTATCCTGTGCCTGTTCATCGCCCTGAGTCCTTCGGGAGTAGGGCGGTATACAAATTCAATAAAACCTAAAACCTAAACCTATTATTAAAACTATTTTTAAAAGTGCTATAATAGTATGCTATGCAGAATAATTCTTAGCATAATGCCCAGTAACATTTCCTAATCTGACTGCCGTAAAGAATTGCAGTAACTCAGATTGTAAAACTCTGTTAAGCCTTGATAGCATTACTACCCTTATCCATTGCAAATATATTTTATACTACATATTCACCCTGGGAGTTACTAAAAGAATGCATAGTCCTTGGTGATTCTGTAGTTTTGGCTCCAAAGTTAGTCCATCAGGAATGGTTTTATTGCAGGTGTTTACTTTGTATGTTACCAAGACCATTGGGACTACATAGGAAAGAGAAAATGCTAGTGAACATGAGGAGAAAAAGAATATGAATAATAGAGGATTTCAGAAAAGGTTTGGTGGAGAAAGACATAATGGAGTCTGCTGGTTGGTGAATGAAGATGGACAGGTGAACATTTGAAATGGAACTATCAGTATTGCTTTGGGACTTGATTATGAATCTGCCTTGGATTCTTCTGCCCTCAGCAAGTTTATCAGAGGTGAGCAAAGTGGCTGACGCTGCTGACAGGAAGAGTGAGTGGGTGAGGAACACAAACTATGACCACTATTATCTACAGTGGCAGCCAGGAGGGCATCTGGAGTAGGAATGATAAACAAAAAACGGAATCAGAGATTCCTTAGAAAAATCCTGGCCCAATAGAATCCTTGTCAGGTCCAGAAAGATTTCACTGATGGGATGAAAAATTTTGTGTCTGCAGGTGCCAGAATTGAAGAGAAGTGCTGCCGGGGTAACTGCAGCTGCAATTAAACTGAGTCTGGGAAGCTTCTGAAAGTTTATTTTAGCATCTATCAGCTGTCTTGGATTTAAATATGAGTATGTTCTCCCAGTAAGTTAGGGAAAACTGAAGTCAGCTTCCCATCCCTTCCCAGGCAAGAGAACAGGAGTGAAATGAAGGTATTTTATGAATGTTTTAAACTTCTCCCCAAAGTTAAAGGCCCCAAGATGTGGATTGAGCTGGGGGGGTGGGGCGGTTCTGGAGACTAAACAGCAGGGGCTGAATAAGAAAATGGAAATATGGCAGGGAGTACTGAGTGTATTGTTGGGGAAGGGGATTCATACATTAATTCAGGTTCCTTCGAAGACAATGGTTCCACTTCTAGAGCCAGATTAGCAAATTGAAAGGTGCTTTAAGTCTTCAACTGTTGGTAAATGTCAGGTTTCTCTACAAGTGTTTCTCAACCTTGGTAGCTTGAAGATGGGTGGACTTCAACTCCCAGAAGTCCACCCATCTTCAAGCTTCCAAGGTTGAAAAACTCTGCTCTACAACAAAACTGCATCCGACATGGTGATGGACAAATGACTCAATCTCATACATTCATAGATCCTAGGGGGAGGGGGAAAGCTTCAAAAACTTCAGGATGGTGAGTACAGCATTGTAATTGGAAACCTGTCCTTTTTGTATGTGTGCGCTGTGATCATTCATGTGACTCTTGAGAGACAGGGAGAACTGTCTCAAACAGAACCAGATGCAAGTGCCTATATATGGAGTTGAGTCATACTGATGAACTAGGGCTGGTGTCATAAGCTTCTGGATCTCATCACAGTGCAGGTGATGGAGTTCCTAAGACTGTTCCTTGAGTAATTTCATTCTCCATGTCCTGAAAGAGGAATCTGGTGTAGCTTGTAAGTCCATGTTCACCATGGGCTTGTCACAAGAAACTGCAGATCCAAAATACAGGATGATATATTTGGTCTTCACATTGGAACAGGTGATATTGACAGAGAACGTTAACATTTGACCTTTGCCTTGATCAAATCAGGTGTCAAATTAGATCACAGATAAGACTCTTGCAAGAATAATGGACCTATTACAATGTTGTAGAGTAAATTAAGAGAAGGGAATGTTGTATATGTATGCCATGAGTGCTGGAGGAAAGTTGGGATACAAATATAAGAAATATTGATACCCCAGACTGAGCTAGATACGCTATGGAAATTTTGAATTAGTTCATTTGCCTATATATGAGAACTATCATCATAAGTGAGCATTGACATATGATTTTTTTTAAAAAAAACCCCAGATTTATTTTTATGTATTTTTTCCTGTTATTCACTGCCAGGTCTGTCTGGACTGGGGCAGGATAAAGATTTTGTTAATAAAATAGAAACAAAATAGCAAGGGACCGTTTAAAAAACAGTTTTAAAATTTATTTAAAATTTTGGAATTTTAAAAATAATTTAGAAGTTAGCAACATTTCAAAAATCTCTAGCATTTGCTTCCCCCTCTCAATGCAAGAGAATAGTGCTCATATGTTGAGAATAATGGGGGTTTCTTTGCCTTTGCCATAAAGGTAACTTATATTTGATCAAGGTCACCACTCCACTCTCTAATTTGGCAAAGTATAAAGCAGACCAAGTTACACAAAAGCTCCTATCTCTGATGAAGAGCACTTTCAAACTTTGCCAGATACTGGGATGGGATGAATTTCCTCATCATTCCACCTCCGTTTTATGAATATCTTTTACTTAGGTAAAAAAAAATTTTTTTATAAAGAAATCCTGCTGTAGAAGAGAAAAATCCATATTCCTAGTATACTTCAATAGTTTGTTAATGTTTTGTGGGAATCAAGAAGAGAAGAAGCCCACATGGAAGGGGTAACAAAGCATGCTCTCTATGTATCTAGTATATGCCTGTGATTAGTCTGTAAAAATCCACATATAAAAGTACCGAACTCAATGAATGACTACTTGGTAAAAAAACTTCAGGTCATAATTTTCCATTCAGGTTTTACTTTCTTGGTAAGTCATCATTCAATATGCAATTCAAGGTAAGTTTATCTAATAAAATGAATGCATTAATTTAGCATTAAAAGCATATGTTGCCCCTCTCAAAAATTCTTTAAAACAATTAATAATAAAAGAGCAAACTCCAAGCAATGAATTCAATCACTGAAATTACATTTTTGTACAAGACAAGAAATTGATGCGCTATAGCTTAAATAACTTTTAGAACAATTCTTAAAAATAGTAGGGAAAACATGTCAAATTTGTATTTTCCCACTTTTATCCCATAGAGTGTCAGCAATGGGCTGATTAAATTGCCAGAGAACTGACTTAAGAGTTGCAGAGACTTTTAGAAATTAAAATAAAAAAAAAATTAATTTTTTTTTCAAGAAAATAGGTCAAAAGTCACATAAAGGGAGGCCAATCGTTTACTTTATAAGCAAACTTTATAATAACAAATGTGAGGCTTCTCTTATATGTATTATCTATCTCCCAAAATGCAGTTATTCATTGCACACCATAACAAGAACAGATTCATGCATATACCATGGCTATTTGTTTCCAATGGGCAATTTTTTCTCAGATAAAAAGAAAATCACAGAGAAACCTCCATTATAAAGTGAGCTGTAGGCAAATGCACCTGTTTCTGCTATTACAATGGCAAGGAAAATGACTAGATTTTAGCAGTTCTCTGAATATTAAATGTGTAGTAGATTCCATGTCATAGTTTCTGAAATATGTAAACTAAATTCCTTTCGTGTGTCAGGGTCTACAATATATATGAAAATATATAAAATCAATGTAACATTTATACATGTACATTTTTAGGAAAGAATGTAAAATGATATATAATCAGGCAGATTTCCTTTCCAGGTTTTTAAAAGAGCAACACATACCAAGGGCCATAGAAAAGTATGGATATAACCCTTTTATTTTCTAGTCAATGTTGCTTCATAGATAAAATCAATTAATATTTATTATTTATGTTTAATCAATAAATGTAAAAATCCTTTCTTTGGCATTGGACAGTACTCTTCTGTTTACACTAGAAGGCCATGCAAAGTAGTTACTTAGGGAATCATTTTTCACTATAATACAGCAGTGCAACTTGTAAAAATTTCAAGCATCTTCTCAAGTGAAACAAACCTGATCCATAGTTTATGCACTGCCAGTTGAGCACAATTTTTGTACAAGATGTCAAAGAAGAGACAACCCTTATGCTTTCAAAGCATATGCTCTCTGTATTCTTTCTTAAGAGACGAGTCTTTTCCAAGTAAATCAAATCTGTGCAAGGAATGGTTTTAAAAAGGCTCGGTTTCATAAACAATTTAAGCATTCCTTACTGTATCCACAAGAGTTAAGCTTTCACTTCTAAATAACTTACAGTTCAAGAACATAACATGATTGCACACTCTTTCAATAATAAGCAGCATATCTTAAAAGAGAGTAACAATAATAATATTAAAATGTAAAATATGATTTGTTTGGAGATGATTTACACTAGTACATTTGGAGAAATTAATAATTTAGTTGTAGCCTGAAAGGCTTTTCAAGAAAAACAAAACAAGACAAAGTTATAATTATCAGTGCTGTAAATAAATTGGAATGTTCCAATGCAGTGCTAAAATGTCATAACAACCTCCCATCATACCTACATAGTACTGTTACTGTCAACTCTAAATGCTGAATATCACAAATGCAAATGCAGTTTTCCACATTTGTGCATGTGTGCATGTGTGTATATGTGTATATATATTTATACATATATATTCATACATACACTACACACTATAAAGGTTTTCTGTGTTAAGATAATTATTTAAAAAAACATACAAAATTAAAGTCAGTGTTCTTTCAATATTTTTTTCTTCAAAACACATTTTAAGATTTTTTTTAAAAAATTACACTGAAATTAGTTTGAAATGCAAGTAGTAATTCAATTATACATTTAAAAACAGTCAGCTCTAGTAATGTAAAGTACTGAGGCTTAATTTCATTAGCAATTTTTTTCTTTTGTTGCCAGTGCAAATCCAGCTACAGTGAGTACAAACTGGATTATTTTAAAGAACACATGGTTTTAGTGAAACATTTTGTCCTATAATGCAAAACTCATTGCATATGCACATATGATTAATATTAAATAATATATTTCAGTGCTTCTCCATGAGTAAATTCTTACAGCAAGCTCAGTCAGAAACATAATTCACATTACATCAATTTTTGAGTGTTAAATTGCCATAAATTTCAGGTATCCATGTGCAAAACGTTTTGTTTCGTTACACTATTCCAAATAAATTTCTTGTCAGAACTTTTCAGTACTCTTTCCTCTTTCCATGTAGTTTCCACACACGCATCTGCACACGCACACACATGCACAAACATACACACAAACATACACCTCATCTTCCTATGCTATGATCTAAGAAAACACTTTTCTGATCCAACCAGGTACCAAGTGCATGATTGCCTACATTGTATAGACAATCTTGATGCAGTGAAGAACGAATGATGGTTTATGTTCATGTGTTGTTCCTAGCAAACATACGGTCCCCTCTCAGGGTGAGGTGCTGGAGCTGATACTGAAGCACTTCTGTATCAGCCGGTTCCTTGATGTTCATTCTGTCTAAATTGAGGTAGTCTAGGGATTTTGAGTGAGCTCTTTTACCTTTGAAAAGGCAGAGAGGCAAAGGACCATGAAATGCCTTGTATGGTTCATAAGGTAGTGGCTTGCTGCATTTATCCCCTGAGCTGGGCATCCGTCGTCTTCTACGGCCATTGATCGCTGGGATCTCATAAGGCTGGTAATATCTGCTTCTGGCTTTGCACACTCGGGAAGAACGAGAAAGTCCTGAATCAAGCTGTTTGGAGCGCAAAGTAGGCCCTATCATTTCAACTTTATTCTGTTCTTCTACAGTGCACTTCTGAGCTAATTTCAGGAGCTCCTCTCCAGTAGTGAAGCCAACCAAGTAATTAGAATCCATGTGGAGGATTTGGTAACCTGAAACAGTTTGGCGCATTGGTGAGCATGGGGTGCTGGAGCAGCGAGGTTTCTCGTTGTCTGTTTTGCTTGTAGCACTCACTTCAGCGATAGGCAAGGGGAGGGGGGCTAGCATAGATCTGGCCTCTCCATTAATGTCAACTTCCATTTTAAGTAAGAATCCAACAACCTAAAAATACAAAAGAGTTGTATTAGCAAGACACAAGCACAGATGGTATCAGTTGAGAAGTGGCAGTCACTTCTGTATTTAGATCTTACTTTGCAGAGTCTTCACTGTAAAAAATAACAAACAGATGACTGGAGCTGGACTTGCATTCCATTTTTGGCAAAACACTAGTATGTGTCTTTGCCTATCTACCCTTCTTCTTTCCTACCAGGTTCAGCTCCCAACCTTTATCCATAAACTGAAAATACCCTCTCATTTTAGTACTACCTGTGGACAGTAAACATAATGATAGTTCTGAGTATAACCATATTTCAAAATCACCAGATCTTACCCTAATAGTAGAGCCACAAGACAACAAATTAAAGGGAATCGTACAGCTGAAAGAAGTAAAAGCAAGAATTATCTTCAAGATAACATTTAAAACGTCTTTTTATTTTCACATGCTACCACCAATTAGGGTCCAGTTCAGTGTTCAATTTTCTTCATTACATGCAGGAACATGTAATGGAACAGGAAGATGTAATAGGAACAGCCATGTTTTCAGAAGATGGCTTCAACACTGTACAGAATTCACTGAAAAGAGTTTTCCCTGAAGCAACTCTGCTCTTGCTTATCTCCTTCCATGTTATACTGAAATGAATATAATAATTCAAGTGCACAGCTAAGCAACAGCTAAAAAGCCTAGTATGTTTCTAATTACTTTCAGTGGGAGCTGTTGTTTATGGGGAATCCCCAACTCAATTTCTACTTCCTACTCAACCACAGCACATGACCCTTATAGCACTGAATTTAGCTCAGATAGAAAACAAAGTGATTATGTCTCATATAAACCACTTAATAAAAATTGCAGTGATCCAGAGATTAGGTTGATGCCCTTTTGTCAGTAGGTTAAGCTGTTCTTATTTACAAAGGGATATTCTTAGTTTGCCACCTTTTATAATATAACTTTTCATAGTATAACTTATCTGCCACCTTTTATAATATAATTCTTCTTTGCAATTATTTGCTTTTGTGGTATGGTGTTGTCATGTACTGACAATAGAAGATGTTGTGAAGTTTCGCTGCTCTAAGTGATGCTTGAGAGTTTTGGAAGGCAGAACTGTATTTTCAAAACAAACATGTTCACTCATGCAACTCTTGGCCCATAAGAAAATCAGCCATCTGCAGCTAGGCTGTTGGTAGCGCAATATTGGAAGGAGGACTCTTTGCCTACTATTGAAGAGTGGACACTGAAAGTAACGAACTTAGCAGAAATGGCGAAAATTTCAGCGTATTTGAAGGACTATACACAAGAAAGGTACATATCGGAATGGAGAAGATGGATTGATTATATTCAAAATAAGTATCAACAAGAAAATATCAAATAGTTTATGAATGAATGTTAAGTTTTAGAAGTACGTTATTTATAGTGGAGTTAAGGTTTCAGGGGGGGACTGTGTAGTCTAAGGATAGATAGGTTAATTTAGCTTATGATTGTTAATTGAAATACCCTATATTTTGCTCTGGGAAGTCTGAGGGGGAGGGTGGGATGCGGGGAAGGGGGGTGGGCGGGAGGGAAAAAGGGTGGGGGGAATATTGGGGAAAAAATCTTTTTTTTTGTAAAACTTTTTAATTAAAAAAAAAGAAAAGAAAGAAAATCAGCTGTCTTTAGTGTTCAACTATTTTCTAATATGCCAAAAGGTAAATGAATGGATAATGGAGACTCTTGTCCATTCAAAACATTCAGAAGATGAATAAGCCACTATTATATAACCCCATGTACAATTAACAGAATAACAGAGTTGGAAGGGACCTTGGAGGTCTTCTAGTCCAACCCCCTGCTCAAGAGGAAACCCTATACCATTTCAGACAAATGGTTGTCCAATCTCTTCTTAAAAACTTCCAGTGCTGGAACACCAGAACTTCAGAGGATAAGTCATTCCACTGAATGTTATAACTGTCAGGAAATTTCTCCTTAGTTCTAGGTTGCTTCTCTCCTTGATTAGTTTCCATCTATTGCTTCGTGTTCTGCCTTTAGGTGCTTTGGAGAATAAGTTGACCCCCTCTTCTTTGTGGCATCCCCTGAGATATTGGAAAACTGCTATCATATCACCCCTAGTCCTTCTTTTCATTAAACTAGACATATCCAAGTCCTGCAACCGTTCTTCATATGTTTTAGCCTCCAGTCCCCTAATCATCTTTGTTGTGCTTCTCTGCACTCTTTCTAGAGTCTCAACATCTTTTTTATATCCTGTTGACCAAAACTAGATGCAATATTCTTAAAATAGTGCTAACACTTCACATTGCCAGGGTTGGGAGATTTTCCGTGTCTGTCAAAACTTTGATTTTAAACTCCACTTCTGATTACTAGAAATGGTAGTAATTTTGATTTCTGACAATCTCGAGCAACCTTAAGATTTTGACCATGTTTAAAGGACCAGGTAGGGAGAAAAGAGCAGTGTGCACCTTCTCACTATCTAGCCTATGTCTTATCATGATACATGTATTATGTTTGACAGTTACACTAAATATACTACCAGGGCCACAAAAAAAAATAAAAAAAATAAAGACATTAGTGCACCTACTAGGATTTGCCAACCTCAAACGAAACAAAAAAGACCAGCAAGTAATAGTAGCAACTTACACCTCTCTCTCTCTAAGTGGTTTACAGAGTCAGCATATTGCCCCCAACAATCTGGGTCCTCATTTTACCCACCTCAGAAAGATGGAAGGCTGAATCAACTTGAGCCAGTCAGAATCGAACTCCTGGCAGTGAATAGTGAGTTAGCCTGCATTCTAACCACTGCGGCACCACAGCTACTAGAATCACTTAATAACGTCTATTTGAACTGATTTTGAATGAACAAGATCAGGAATAGGAAGGTTTTCCTTTTCATCACAATCATAGGGAAATCATGCACTGATTTTCACAGAAGTTACTTTCAATCTGCAGCCTGTTTTACAAAATACATACCTAATAAACAATGAAGGGAACAATATACAATCCATGTGTATAAATTACTATATGTGCCAAACAAAAAGTTTCTTATCCAGAAATGCTATTAAAAAAACCTGTGAAATAATATCCACAATACATAGAATTGATTTTTTTTAAAAAAACCCAAATTCTTTACCTGCAACCTCAGAGGAAAAGTGCATTAGAAAAAGATATTTATATTTGTCAAATTCAACAACATCCTACAGGAAGAAAGAGCCAAACTGTAATTCCATTAGTGCATGAACCTGCTGTGGTTGTCTTCATTACATACATGTGCTTCTTATGCATACCATATAAAGTAAAATAGTGGTAATCTTCACAGAAAACACTTTTGTTAATTTAGCCTTCACAACACTACACTCCAAGTCTGAGGATGTCATGCTGTCTGGGAATTATGAGGCTGCAGTAGAAATATATTTTGAAAGCACTAGATATGAAAGGTTGTAAGATTCTCTTATCCAGCTTTCTTTTAATAAAAATAATAGCTCACCACTATCTTAAAGAAGATGGGATACTTGAAGTGCTTTGTGTAAAACAATCCAAAATGAAACTAACTGAACATGTAATCTCCAAGTGCAGATAATAATGAAGAGTAAAAATGGGTACTTTCATGGTTAATTACAGATATGCCCATTTATACATACTGGGCAGTCTCAAAGCATATCCTTTTATACCTGTAAGGTTTATTAGGAGTACAATTCATAGAGAGTGTATTCCGTCTTTCTATCCAGAAGTTTATGATTTATATAGCAAGTATAATTGAAGATCAGTGAATTTTAAATCACAACTGAACATTTTACTGAGTAGATAGCCAAAGTAGTCTCGGATGTGTTTGTAGCTGATTCTGGTTTTTATTTTTGGTAAAAATCATGTGGTAGGCCTTTTCCTCATTTTTCTCTACCCCAACTCTTCTGGATAACTGGGGAGAATACTCTGGAATATTTTTTTTAGGGTATTCCCAACAGGTCAATCATTCTCATCTAGTTTTATTAATAGAAATTTATCAATGGAATTTTCCCTTTCTTTTAACGTTGTTATTGTAAGCCTCTTTTGTCAACACTTGGAACTAAAAAATAAAATTAGCACAAATAAAATGCAGTATTCTTCACAAAATCCTCGGTCCTCCTCTCTTGTATCATTGCCCTTCATAATAGTTGTTCTTTAGAGATTTTTTTTTAATTCTAGTATTGATTTGTATGTAGCAGGGTGGATTTGATTTAAATCGAGTTGATTTAAATCACAATTTAAATCATGATTTAAATCACTAGTAAAAAGGCTTGATTTAAATCAACTCGATTTAAATCATAATTTTTAAAGAACAACTGTCATCTCTGCTACTCCTTTGACCCACTGTTGACTCACCGATAGTCCCAGTGTTGCAGAATATACAGCCTCATCTACATAACTAAGCTCCATTTCATGCTGAATAAACTAAATTATTTATGTATCTTAAATAGAAAACTATCTTACGATAGATTTTTACCCCAAAAGTTTTTTATTAAAATAAATTCGATAAAAATAAAAAAAATCCGATTTAAATTTAAAAAATCTGATTTTTTTGATTTTTTTAAAAAAATCATTGATTTTTATCCACCCTGGTATGTAGCATAAGACCAGAAAATATCTACTTATATAAGCATGGCACATTGACCTGCAGTTATGATGGATGTATATTAGCAGGTCTGCATAACCTGCGGCCTACCAATCCTCTGATGGCAGGAAGGATCCACCACTGCCTAGGTTTTTGCATTACCCTTCATCCCAATAGGCACTCTGCTGAGTACCTGCAGTACCAACACAGTCAGTTCCATTACTGCTGCACTGCTGAAGAGTTGATCTGCCTGCCAGCTATTCCTTTGTGACCTGTAATTATTTTTAAAGTGGTAAACTTTCCTTTCTACAAGTTATGTAGGCCTGACATTAGCATGGTAATTATACATCTGTTTGTGCAATAAATCATGGTGATGCAATATTGCTGTTAATATGGGCCAATGAACTTGGAAAGTACATTTGTCACATTGAACCT